TTAGGTGGGCATCCCAAAACATGGAAGAAAGCTCCCCAATCTGTCTGAGCCACACAGCTGGCACACCTCGTGGCAGTGGGCACATGGAGGGTGCCTGGGGAGTGCCCACATCCAGGACATGCAGGTATTGCTACCCATAGGGGATCCTGTGGGGATACCTGAGTGGGATTCACCCCTTGGAATGTTGCCACCACCACCGTGCCCCCTGCCAGCCCCTCCATGGGAGCGCCAGCATTTATTTATTGTGCCAAAGAGAACGTTTTGTTAGCTCTCCAAGGAGCATAACAAAAAGACCTTCTTTCCCCTCAAAAATGGGCTGTGATGTCCTTCCTCTGAAATTCCCAGCTGCTCCCCTCCCTTCCATGCTGGCCTAGGCTTTGGTGCTTTATAGCTTAGGGAATATTTGCAGTGGCTCCTCGCTGCACCTCGGGGCAGAGCTGTGGCTGGGGGCTGACCCAGCTCCTGGCACCCACGGCCGGGGTTCCTGGGGGTGTTTGGGCAGGGGGGCTGCACTGCAGGTGCTGATCCTGACCTCAGGCTGAGAGGTGGGGGAGATCTGAAGCAGGGTGTGATAACCTCCCCCCCACCAGCTGTGGGTGCTCTGCAGGGCTGGCACCCGGCACTGCATGTTTCATGGAATCCTGGAATGGTTTCGGTGGGAAGAAACTAAAGCTCATCCAATTCCAGCCCTTCCTGCCTCCTTCCACTAGCCGAGGTTGCTTCAAGCCCCGTCCTGGCCTTGAACACTTCCAGGGATGGGGAATTTATTCCAGCTGAAGGCAGGCTGAGCTTGGGTGGCTTTGTCCTGTCTCTGGTCCTGTCTCCAGGAGAAGGGCCTGACTCTGATTCCCTGCACCCTCCTAAGCCAGGTGGATGCATGGAGTCATTCCTGTGCTGTAACCTTGTCCAGTGTTACCATGATGTATAAAGTTTTGTACATATGAGATTCAGAGCTTTTTAACTTTTAATATTTATTAATTCTGTTGGGTTCTTTTTTTTTTTTTTTGAACTCTAACATAATGTAAAAAAAATAAAAATAAACCCACAAAAAAAAATCTCATGCTGTTGATCTGTTTTGGGGATGTGTGTGTGGAGGGGGAAATATGAGCATGACCCATGTGTGGCTGTTGAAATGGATTTACTTTGTGATATTTTCTCTTTATCAGCCAGAATTTCACATTGCTGTTTTGAGGAGGAAGAAAATCTCTAGATATATACATATAGAGATACACACATGTAAGTAGTCAACCCAGTGCAAAAATAAATATTGATGTATTACTGGTTCAGGCCAAAAAGCCCCTGATGCCGTGGCCAGGTAAAAAATGTAAAGTGGTGAAAGCAGGGTAGGGATGAGGCCAGAGAGGGAGTGTCAGGGTGTGTTTTGGCAGCCTCTCTTTTCCTGTTTGATGCCAAAAACCAGTTCCTGTTGTCGGGGTTTTTAGGCAATCTCTCATACAAGGTTTGGTGCTGCCTCGGCTGTCCCAGCTTATGGATGCTCCACTCCATCCTCAAAGCAGCAGCTTCCCTGCAAGGATCACTCTCTGCCTTGCTTCCTGCCCTTTGCACAGCAGGGCACGGCTGGGAGGGGACACTGGGGTGGTCCCCAGTGCCATTTTTCATCAAGGACCACAGCAGCAGTGGCAAACTGGTGGCACTTGCATGGCTTTGCCCTCAGGGCGTGTGAGAGCTGCTCTAAAGCCACGCTCACACAGAGTGGTGCTTCCTGTGGAAATTCATGGGTCTTGTGGTGGTGATTGATGCTGGGGTAATCCCTCAAAAAAGGCTTTATTTTCCTCTTCCCTGCTTTACACCCTTCTAAAAGTCTCCTGCAGACCTCAGGTTCTCGGAATGATGGTGGAACCTCTCCATCTTTTGGCATGAAGTCGCTCACTCCTTCCCCTTCTGTTTTTATTGGCCCCTCTTAAAAGGTTAAACCCAAACCCTACCATGTCATTCCTTAAAATCCAGCCACACTGGATTCCTCTGGATCTTTGCACTGCTGCTGCTTTTTCAAGTGCTTTGAAAACCCTGCTTGGATTTTACCACGGAAAAACTTTTCCACCTGTCTGTTGGATGCTTCCCTTCCACACGGCATCACTGCAGCTCATCACACCTTCAGGTTTTTGGGCTGCAGCAGCCACAGTATTTGGGCAAGGAGGTATTTTTGAGCTCGTAAGGGATAGGAGAGACTTCAAGGCTTGCAGCTGGTGTGGTTGTGGCTTTTCTTGATGGGATGGGATGGCCAGGCCAGGTTGGATGGGTCTTGGAGCAGTTTGGTCTGGTGGAGGATACCCTGCCCATGCCAGGGGGTGCAATGAGATGAGCTTTAAAGTCCCTTCCAACCCAACCCAGTCAGGGATTCTAAGGTCCTGTGAAGAGCAGGTTCTTGTTCCCATTGTCCCCATGGGACCTGGGATTATGGCTGTGTCTCCAAACACCTTCTTCACTGCTAATTCTCCCACAGCAAGTATTGCATCCCTTCAATACTCACACTCTTGGCCAGGATGGAGTGGGTGGAACAGTTTTCTAGGAAAACTTCAGCTTTCTTTCCCATGGCTTTTGCCAAAGGGTTTTATCTCAGCCCTGGAGCCTTGTTGGCTTGGCTCAGCCATTTCCCAGCCTGACTCACCAGTCCCGGCCCTGAGCTTTTCCCCCCAGCTTTTCCTGCAGGGATCTCCTCGTGGCACAGCTGCTGTGGTTTGCCCAGCTGTGTCTCATTGCAGCTTCCCAGCTTTCTGCCTGCATTCCTGATTGCTGGGCAGGTTATAACAGCAACCCTGCCAACTGCTGCTCCTTAGATGCTCCAGACCTATTCTAGGGCACTGTGGCTCTCAGATAAGAGAAAAAAAAGGAAGCCTTGCAGGGATGCTGGTGAGATGTGCATGTCCCAAGGCAGCTGCCAGCTCTGGAGTGGAGGTTTGGGATGTGCAGCTGCTGCTTTATGTGAGCTTTGCTGTTGCCACGGTTCAGTGCTGGGATTTTCACGGCTGCTTTGGTGAGTTATAAACCAGGGGTTTTTTTGATTTTTTTGTGGAGTTTGGGGAGTCTCTGGGGCCCGGGAAATGCAATTCTTTGTACTGCAGGCTGCCTAGGAAGGAGAAAGCAGTGGCTCAGAGCTCAATCCCAGCACTTCAGAGCTGCCTCTCCATTAAATTCCCAAGGAAAGCCGATCCTCGAAAGATATTCCCTCACTTTTGTGCACTCTTTCTCGTGGTAGTTTTCTCTCTGCAGGCAGCTGGAATAGACAGGCAGATAATGTTTTATTGCCCCGTTTGGTGAGTAGCGTCCATGCGCTCTCCTGAGGATTGCATGGGATATTCTGGCAATAGAGTGACTTCCGGGGGAAAGAAAACATGGAAAACTGCTTGTGCTGGCAAGCCTGGAGGCCAGGAGGCGACAGCATTGCCACCCAAAAACCGGGACAGAAGGGTGAGGGGCTGCCAAGGGTCAGACCAGATCCATGGCAGAAATCCCTCGACCTCGTGTGCCGCCTGTGGGATATCCCCGAGGAGCGGGAGCGGAGGGGTTTGATCCCGAGATCTCCGTCGGATTTGGCTGCAGCCGCTGGAGGTCACTGCTGATCTGCGGCTCCACCGCTCCTGGAGAGGCCGCAGGAGCCCGGCTCCTCTCGTAAGATTCCTGGGAGATGGATAGTGGCTGTTCTGGGGGATCCTCACCAGGAGTCACATCTGGTGTCACATCTGGCACTCCAGCCCTGCCTGATTGTCCCTTTCCCTTGCTGCTGGATGAAATGACTCTGGGAGGCTGAGGGAGCTGGGAAAGGGGCTCAGCCTGGAGAAAAGGAGGCTCAGGGGGAACCTTCTGGCTCTGCACAACTCCCTGACAGGAGGGGACAGCCAGGGGGGGTCGGGCTCTGCTGCCAGGGAACAGGGACAGGACAAGGGGAAACGGCCTCAAGCTGTGCCAGGGGAGCTTGGAAATGGGGAAAAATTCTTCACGGAGAGGGTTCAAGTACTGCCAAGCACTGGAACAGGCTGCTCAGGGCAGTGGTGAAGTCACCATCCCTGCAAGGATAAAATTCATGCAGGTCCCACTTGAACTGAGGTGACTCCATTCTAGCTGGGCACAATGTCACCTTTCCTGGGCACAATGTCACCTTTCCTGGGGATCTGGGGCTGAAAGGTCCCTTCTGGGAGGGTTTGGAGCCATTGCCAAGAAAATGCATGACTGAAAGGCCCGTGTTACTTCATTGCTTTTGCTGCTTGAGCATCTAACCTGGACTGGGGAAAAAAAATCATTGGAAGGGCTTGGAAGACTTCAGGATTCGGTGGCTCAGCAGGACAGCAAAGCTTCCAGCAGCAGCAATGCAAACTGTTAAAATCCCTACTCAAATGTCCTCACCCCTTCCAAAGGGCCTGGAAACATTTTCCCAACTCCAATCCCAGCTACACGACCTCATCCCTCTGGCAGGACAAGTATCCTTTGGGAGTAGAAGTTCAGCTGATTTGGGGTAAATATCAGATGAATGGAAAATCTGCCTTTGCCAATCTCTAGAGGAGGAGAAAGAGGAAAGGGAACACCCTAAATACAGACCTAGAAAGCAGGTTCTTCCTGGAAGTGCCTCTCCCTTCTTCCAATCCATGTGTCCAGGAAAGTTGAGAGTCAAACAGAGACAATATAAAAATACACGGAATTTATTTCTGCACATAACCAAAGTGCTTGTAATTGGTGTCTCCAGATGGAAAACCAGGCAAATTTCCTCCACTGAACCAGGAGACTCTGTGCTAACATTTCAAGCTCATAACTAAAAAAAAAAATGTACTCCATATCCTTCTTTTCTTTCCTAAAAAGATTGTTTTGTAACACACACCAAAAAAAGGGCTAAAAATGCTTCCAAGGCACATCTTTATCAGGAAGGAATGGAGAACTGCTGCTTGTTCCTCACCAGCCTCCCTCTAGTTCTGGAAGTGTTGGGTGGTGGTGAATGATAGCAATTCAACCTCCCAAGGAAGGTCATTTATTCATTCCACGGGGGTTGCAGACGTGTCTCCTCCTGGCAGCTTTGATAAATGGGGAGAGAACATAGCATTTTGGGATGCAATCTTCCAGGAGGGTTTCTTGGGCTCTCAGAAGCTCATTGACTTGCAAAATAAGGCTGTTTTTCATGAGGAAAAGCTTGGCTTCCAGCAAGGCCCTTCCCCATGAAGGGGAGGAGTCCAGGAGGGAGAAATCCCAGCCTTTGGGGTGTGAGGGCAGGTTTGGAGGCAAGGGGTGTGTCTGTTCTTCGGCAGTTCCTCCTGTGCTCCCTTCTGCTGTCCTTATTGCAGCATTTTTCTAATTCAAATGTGGTTGTGGAGGAGAATCCCAAAGTGCTCTGACTCCTTATTCTTTTTCTGCAGTCAGCAGGAGGTTGCAGACCTTGGAATTGGTTTGGTGCAAGGCAAATTCCCTCCCAGGCACGGTGCCATGCCGGCCTTTCCGAGCAGTGCTGCTCTGGCTCCCAGCAGACTGGGAAACTGTGAAGACTTCTCTGTGGGACAAAGCGACAGCAGGATGGTCTGGAGGCTGTGGTGGTGGTGGATCTCAGCCTTTTCCTCCCAGACCAGCCCAGTCACCATCTCCTGATGGCCTTATGGATGGTGCATTCTCCCATATCAGGAACTTGTGGTGTCCTTGCCTCATCCCTACCAAGTCTGACCCAATAAGTGCAACTATTAATTCTCTCCTCTTCCCAAGAAGTCCTTCTTTATCTCAAGCCCACCAGGATGTTTCTACAGGATCTGGCTGTACCCAGGGATTACCTGTATGGGACCTGTTCCTCTCTCAGCTGCAGGCACATGAGCACGGGGCTGCTGGAAAACCTCAGCTTGGTGTCGAAGTGGATCGAGGTCTCCACCTCAGTCTGGCTCCTCAGGGTGGCTTGGAGGAAAGGGGAATCTAGTTCTGTCTGGAAATCCATGGCAAGGCTTCCCCTGGGAGAGAGAAGCACGTAGCTCTGGTCACAGGCCTGCACTGGGCACTAAACAACTCCATAAACCCCTTAATTAGAAGTCTGGCCATGGAAAATGTGTGTGCAACCACCAGGAAAGGTTGGACCTACCAGAAGAGCAGGGAGCTGTGGAAATCCACCCTCACACCCCAGGTATTCCCATTCCCAGAGCCAAGCTCTTTCCTTGCCCGCTGACCTCGCATTGACACCGGTTTTCAGCTCCTGCTCCCAAATGCTCACGTCCATGTCAGCTGAAATGTCCAGCCCCAGCCCACCCTGGAGTTTGATGGTCACTTGGAGGCCAGACTGCAGAGGAATGACCTGGAAGATGGAAAAGGCAGAGCTTCCTGTGGCCAAGCACTACTCTTGGATGAGTGGCTGACACTGGCAGGGCATTGTGGCTACTGGGAATGCCTGTCCCAGCCCTGGGTCTCCCGTGGTGGAGCCATGGTAAAGACAGTGCTTTACCAACCCCCAAGACACATCTGGCAGTGCCACCTCGCTCTTAGATCTTTCTCTGTGGTGTGTGACATCCACAGGCTCATTTCATTGGAACCACTGGGATGTGGTGTGGAGACAGGTCACTGCTTCGTCCCCATCCAGTACCTGGTGATGGTCCATCAGCAGGAGGTTCCCTTTGACCACACTGGTGGGCCCTCCACTGCTCAGCAGGACCTTGGCCATTAGGTCTGTGTATCCCTGGAAGAAGATGATTGGCCGCAGCTGGACATCAAAGAAGGTGGCCGACATCCCAGCCATGAGCTCTGGCTCCTCTTCCCCTTCCGAGAGGTTTTCTCCCATCATTGACTCCATCCCTTGTGCTTCAAAGGTGACCTGGAAGACAGAAATGGAGAGACCCTTTGGAGCAGGACACTGGTGATGGAGTGACTTGGATGAGGCATCCAAGCCATCCTTGAGGTATCAGTGTTGCATCCTCTGTTTTTTGGGGTACCAGGGTGTTTCAGGTTGCAGTACAGGATGTGACCAAAAGTATGTATTCTATCACCATCTGTTAAAACCAGGTGGGGCAGTGTTCTTCATCTTTTCCACAACCCATCCTTCCTCCAGGAAGATATCTTCTATTAATGGCCACTGAGTCCCACTGCATGACTGATAAAATTCCATCATCCCACTGGGAGATGCTCCAGCCAGGGGGAGGAGCCAAGCATTTCATACCCACATAAAATCTGAGATTTGGAACATCAGAGCAGCCTTTTCCCACTGGATTCCAGAGGGACTGCACCCTTCTACAGGAGCACTGCTTCAACTGAACCACATCTGTCACTGCAGGAGGATGCAGCCACCATTAATGGGACTGCTACCAACACCCTGACTGACTGAGGGGGTGTCAGGTTGCATTCTGACTCTGTCAGTGTTTCTTGGGTTTGTTTTTTATAATACTGTATTTCTATTTTAATTTTCCTAGTAAAGAACTGTTATTCTTATTTCCTATATCTTTGCCTAAGAGCCCCTTAATTTCAAAATTGTAATAATTTGGAGGGAGGAGGTTTACATTCTCCATTTCAAAGAGAGGCTCCTGCCTTTTTTAGCAGACATTTGTCTTTCAAACTTAGACACAGGGGCTCCCTTCTCCAGAGCAGGAGTGTCTGGTTTCATACTGGTGATTTGGGAATTTGCCTGTTTCTGACACGGGACATGCAGAGCACAGAGGTGAAGCACAAAAGAGGGGACAAAGGGACAGCAGTGACGTCACTGAGTTGGTGTTGTCACCCCCCTCCAGCCCCTCTCCCACCTGAGCTGCACGGAGCTGCTGGCCTTGGCTGAGCAGGGAGAAGTCGGAGACGCTCTTCCTCAGGAATCCACCCTCCAAAAACAGCAGGTCCAGCCCAAAAGTGGAAGTCAGGTCCTGGGTGACTGGAAGGCAGAGAGATGCCCATGAGCACCCCTGGGTGTCTGGTGGAAGGGGGATGTTGACAGGATGATCTTTGAGGTCCCTTCCAATCCAGACCCCTGGTACCATTCTGCATCTTCTCCTTTCATTCTTGCAATACTCAAATGATTTAGCATTGCAAGGTTGTTTTTTTTTTTTCCTCCCTGGCTATTCCACCTTCACTGACCCTCTGCAAGGCCAGACTGAGGTAATTTGAAGAGGGACAGAAATGAGAGCTGAGGGACGAAGAATTCAGCAGATATTTAGCACGTGCTGTTTTTTGCAGTCTCAAGCTTGATTCTTTCTTTTTAATCTCAGTATAGGAATCCTCCTCCTCGAAGATTTTCTTAGAAATACTAAAGGAACTGAGGAATGGAGTGAAATATCTTGACTTGTCAGGGAAAGCACAGAAACTCCCACCAGCAGTCTGCTATTGGTTTCATCTCCAGCTGAAGCTCCTCTTTCAAACCAGCAGGATTTGGGCAAAGTTTGTTTTAGAGAAGGGCATGTTCGTATCTCAAGGGGTGGCAGTCAGGTGGTGCTGGGGAACATTCTCAGAAACCTCCCCAAGATTTTGGGGCATTCTATAGACCTGAATCTTCCTCTGGGAGCTGCCTTTTCCCACCAACCCCTCCTTTAACCCTCTGAGGGGACCATGGGGTCAGTGTCCTCTGCACTGTCACCTGTCAGAGGTCCTGAGAAGGAAGAAGAGATGCCGACTTTAGAGAAGAAGTTGTAATTATTTATCCGTGGGTCTCCCATGATCTCTTTCATTACCTTCCTGGAAAAGAGAGGGAAAGGATATGTCAGCACTGGGAGGGAGGGGAGGGAAAAGGTCAGTGCTCACTACAGAAGGAAATATAATTTGCTGAAGTATTTCTCGTGGTTGCTGACTGCCCAGAGCAGAGCAAAAAATTGAAGCATTAGACCTGGGCTATCCTGGAATTTCCCTTTCCTCTGGCTTATTAGGATAAACCAGGCAGATATTTTTATGTAGCTTTTGCTTAGCTCTGAAAAATGTGAGTGCTCGGTTTGTTCTGTGCAGACAGGAAGATTAATGCAGATACAAAATGTGCACTGCCCTGAGAGCCAGAGCTTCAGCCTCCAAGGGCTCTGCCAAAACCACAAGACTGGGTCCAGCTGCCATGGGGCAGGATGACAAGGAACGTCAGGTTTTGCCTGTCTGTGTGGCATCTGCATCCCTTTTGTTACTCCAGGAATGTCCAGGTGGTTCCTATGAAGTGATGCTAGCACATTTTAAAGACATATTGGTCCAAAACCCACAGCTGGATTGTGGAGGAGAAGGAGAAAAAGGTGATGTAGAGCAGAGGGGAAAATGCACCCGTCCCCTCAAGCCCCACTTTGCCAGGTGGTGGTGGTGGTGGTCACGCAGGCTGTTCTGGACTTTCAGCAGCAGGAATGTGGCCATCTCGGTCTCCATCTCGCTGGTGGCCAGCAGGATGTTGATGACATCCATGGGCGAGGGGTGGTTATCCAGGAGGATTTCTGCAGCAGCCAGGCGACAGGTTTTGTCATAAATCTTCCTCTTCTGGTGGAAAATCCTCCTCATCGCTTGCTTCACCTGAGGAGAAGGTGTAATTAAAAGAGTGCAGATGCACCCCAGCAGCTTGGCTTTGAGTGGGGAAGCCTTGGCAACTTCCTCTCCTACCTTGCTGGAGATGTGGGCAGCGGGGAATCGCTGCAGGGCAGCGGTGGCTGCAGCTGTGACAGCTGTGGGACCGTCCTCAGCGTGGTCCAGGAGGGTGGGGATGGTCTCGGGGAGCCTCGCATTGCCCAGGGCCAGCAGGTAAATGACCACCTCGGGCTCCTCCTCGGCACCTCTGAGCCCCCTGAGGATGGTTTCCACCCCACGCTCCACCACCTGCTCAGGATTTGCAGGAGAGGGAGGTGAGGAAAGATTCCAGGAGACTTTCTGGGCACCCCTGGAATTGGGTGGGATTGCAGAGGACTCACCTGCAGCCCACAGAGATTCTGCTGGCACAGCTTGCCCACCAGAGAGCCCACGGCAACTATCCCTGTCTCCCAGATCTCAGGTGCCAGCTGCTTCCCATCCAGCTTGTCCTGGGCATCAGAGAAGGGGTAACAGGAAGCAAGAAAAAAATGAGGGGGGGGGAAAAAAAAAAGGAGTATGCTTTACCTCTTCTCTCAAAGTGTTTCTTAATCAAGTAAGGGAAAACTAGTTCTTACCTGCCTCGAAGGAGGCCATGCATGATTTAATTGGATTAAATGCTGTGGCTCTAAATGGAGATTTTTTTATCTCTAATGCACTGATACAAAGCATTTTCTGCTGAATTCTTTTCCTCTGAGGAGCATCTATTCCTATCACCAGTGTCCCGTTAAATGCACATAAATTGATCCCAAAAGCAGGAAAATCAATTTCTAGAGAAACATTTTCCTTGTACTGTGGTATGTGGATCCATCCCAGATGCAGGACCCTCGGGGAGGAGAGATAGAGTGATGTCCATACTCACCAAGACGAGGTGGAGAAGCTCTCCTGAAGGCCGGGGAGAGAAAGCTGCTGCATAGAGAAATGTCTCCAGGAGGGACTTGGGATCCTTGCTGAAATCCAGGAAGTCTGAGAGAGCTGCCAAGGAAGCCACAGACTGCGTGGCCACTGCTGCCTCCACGAGGAAGGGGCTGGAGTGGGAAGAGGGAAGCCATCAGTGGCGTGGCCCACAAAAACCATGCAGTACTTGGACAGGACAGGCATTAGGAAAAGCCATAGAACACTGCCACTAGTCAGGATGGCTGCCTGGAGCAGGGATGGCTCATGGAGCAGCACCAACTGTGCCTGGTTGTCTTGTCCGGCGCTGGGAATTTTGGAGAGAGAGTTTCAGGGATTCTCACCGCGTTTCCTCGGGCGCTCTCCTCAGCAGCTGCAGGACATCCCTCTTCTTGGCGCTGCGGAACATCTGGATGAACCTCTGGAACTGCCAGGTTGTCGCCACCTTCGAGGTGTCTGTTTGGACTTTCTGCCTGTCAAAAGCCTTCAGGAAGGCTCTCAGCTGCAAAGGTGAAGTTTATTAGGTGGGATTTAGTCCCTTTTCCCATGTCATCACGGGATAACATTTACACCAAAACAGCAGCAACCAGCCCCTCCAAAAGCACCACTGGGGTTTAACCTTAAACCCTATGAGTGTCCAGCTTGAGGGGGAGCCCCTGGTGACTTTTGGGGGTCGGTGGCATCACTGACCGATGGGCAGTGGGTGCAGACCCTCCTGAAGGGCAGGCTGGCCATGCCCAGGGGCTGGAGCCGTGCCTCCATGCTGGCCAGCACATCCTTAAGGCTTTGTCCAGACACCTCTGCTGGCCCAGGCATTGCAGGAGACACCAGCTGGAGCCGCTGCCTGTGAAGGGAGAAATAGTCAATGGAAAGTTTTGTGATCTCCGCCCTCCATGGCCAGGGATCATCTCTCACCTTGAACTGATTTTGATGCCGGAGCGGGATCTCAGGGCTGGAGCCACCTCGTGGCTTTCCTCTGCCAGGACTGACTGGAGCAGGTTGTCTTTCACCACGTACTGGCTTCTGCTGGAGGGCTGCCACTCGACTCCAAAAATCTTGGGAAAGGAAAAGCAAGGAGAAAAAAATGCAACCGTTTTTCCCCTTGCCCTCTCCCCAGGAGATTTCTCTCTTTACATTAGCAGGAAAAATGACTTTACAGTCCACAAAGTCACCTACTTCACTTGCAAAATGTAGGAAAGAAAAATCCATAAGAGCCTGCCTTCTTCCCAGAGAAGTGGGAGAAGGTGAGGACCAGCAAGGGGATGCTCTCACCCGTGGCTGATGCAGGTAGGCAGTGGTGACACCACAGGGATTTGCACAACTAAGTGGTGTTGAGACTCCTGCCAGGGCCTGTGGGGTCTCTGTGGCAACGTCCATTTTTATATTGAATTCAGTAGAATTTGTATATTAAAAAAAAACAACTTAAATTTTGGTTATAACTGCGTTAAGACCCATGGAATTTCATCTGTTTATATCAGGGTTGAACACACTGCTTTAAGCAGAACAGAGTCCTGTCAAGCTAATCCCCAATCCAAAGAGTCTGAGAGCCAGGAATCATCCCTACATCTCCACCTTCCCAAGCAGGATCAGCTGACAGGTCGGAAGTCATAACAAGAGTGGGGATGGGGTGACCCAGAGCAGTTTTACTGCTCCTGCCCATGTCGACACCACAAGATCCTCCTGAGGGATGCTGGTGCATCCCACTCTGAGGATGGGTCTAAGAGTCCCATCCCAAGCTGGTGCAGAAGGCTGAAGCCAGCTGGGAATGGGAATCCAAGCCCACCTGCAAAAAGATTTTAGGGATGTCCCCGCTGTACTCAACATGAGCTGAGCCCCCCACAGTGAGAGCAATGGACTTGCTTTGTTTATGGAGGTGAATCCAGACTTTGGCTTTGAGCAGCTGAGGAGATCTTTGGTCTTGGTGATGGAATGGTTGGACACGGTGTAGGTGACCTGGCAGCTTCCAGAGGCATCTTCCTGAAACACAAATGGGAGTGACTGTGAGTATTAACTGATCTGTGGAGAGCAGACAAACACAAAGGCCAACCTAATAAACAAGAACAGCATCTAAAATCTATAAAGTGGGGCAAACCAGAGGGTGGTTGGATAGCTCCAAGTCCATCTGGGCATCTTTACAAATTCGGGCTAAAGCCAGCAGCAGCATCTTGGTGACTGCATTTGGGGTTCTGAGGTTATTTCATGTTGTTTACAGGTCATTCTAGCTGGCTGCTGGCTAAGCAAATCCTGCTTGGCAGGAATGCTTGTGCAGTTTTTACACTGCTGCTCCTACTGTCCAGGGAAAGGCTATGATTTTTGTAAGGGTGCCTATTGCTGAAAATTATGTTATTTTATTTTAAGTCCTCTGCCTTTCCGAGAGTCATCCTTGCTCAGAGCCTGGTTGGAGCAGCAGACCCAATGTTGTTTATCCTGAATTTTGCCCCCTCTGCTGAAGCTCGTGGGCTGGCTAGGCTCCTGGGCCAGCTTTCCTGGTGTACCCCTGAATTTTGGGCAGATGTGGCCCCAGCTCAGGACCTACCTCCACTGTGGTACCAGCATGGGGCTGAAGCTGGAACAGACTGATGATGCCTCGTTTCAGGTTGGAGATCAGGATGTTTTCTGCTTCATTCCCGTAGAAAGCTTTGACCTGGGAGGGCAGGAGGGGGTGCCTGGCTGAGGGGACATCTCTGGGATCCCTGCAGGCTCTCTGCTACCTTCCCTGACAAAAGGGAACCTGAAAACACCCTGCAGACACCTGAGGAATTTTCTCAAGGAGGACCTTATCTCTCAATAGCATGAGGTCTGTGGATGCAAGCCCACAAAATTTCCCTTTCCTTCCCACCCTGGAGTTCCATAGCCTTAGAGGAGGAGGTCAGAAAGGAGCTTATATCCCATGGTTAGGACTGAAGAGCTTTAACATGGGGTTCTGCAGCTCCAGCTGAGTCCTTGTGGAGGATGGGGCTGCATGTGGGCCATTCTGTAGGCCATGTAGGTACATTGGCCATTCTGTGCAGTTCCTTCTGCTCTGAAATCAGAGGTGGAGCAGGAGCTCCTATGGGCTTCATAGCCGAGAAAATTTAGGATGAGGACGGGAGTGCTTTGCAGAGGGTATGAACAAGCCCAGGATCTTTAATCCAGCTGACCTTCCCACTGTTCCAGGAGATGAACACTGGCTGCTGGAGCTCTGCCTGTGCCTCTGGGCTCAGTGCAATCTCTACAGGGGAGCCTTCAGCGTTGTTCTGGCTCCTTTCCTCTTCTGGCTGGTGTTGGGCCTTCAGGTCATGGATCTACAACAGCAGAAGATGGCAGAAAGCAGTGACCAAGTGCCTGCTCTAAAGCTGATCTGAATTTTACCTGCAGGCAATGGATTTGGTCAGAGAGTCAAAAAAATCATTTGGATTTTTCAGCTGGCATGAGCTAGAAATGGGAGGGGTTGCACCTCCTGGGGTGTTCCCAGCAGGAATGCCTGGCTATGATGGCTGTTCCACCCCACACACCTGCACATGGAGCAGCTCTTCCCCTCCTCGGTGCCTCCAGAGCCGGTGCAGATGGATCAAAGTCTCAGCCTGCAGCCGGGCTCCCCAGGGGGATGGCGTGGATGTGTGGTGCAGCTGGACATCCAGGGTGTACCGGTACTGATACAGGGTCCTGGGCTGGAAAGAAAGCAGCTGCAAATCCCCTGTGGAAAGATGGAAATGTTGAAGGTACGGAGTGGTGGATCACCTCCACTTCCTGTACCTGGGAACCTCCATCCCAGAGGGGACCTGGACTTGCAGGGATGCTGATGACCTGCATCACTCCACCTCCTGGGATGGAAGTCTAGCTGATGGGGAGGGTTTTCACGGGGCATTGTTTGTGCCTGTGGTTTGGATATTTGGGTGTTCTCCAGGCTGGCAGCTGATTCCTGCTCGTGTTTCCAGCCCTGCCTGAAAAATGATGGCTGGAGCAGGGACTGTGCTTTTTTTACTTTTAGAAATGCCAAATAAATACTTTACTCCTGAGGGGAAGTTTCCTGAGTGTGCCCACAGACAGGAGGGATATCTCCAGTGCCTTTTCAGCACTGGGCATTAACTGGGGCACAATCGACATTTTTTGGGGAGAAAAGAAGCTGAATTCTTCATAATAGGGGTTTTCCGTCTTCTAACTGGTAATTAAATCACTGTCTTTGTGCTAAGGCAAAATGAAGTTGGTGGGACAGCTTTAGATCAAAACTCTGTGCTTTAATCTTATTTCTCCAGACTTATTTGGAGTCCCTTCTCTTGCTCATACACAATGGTGATTGAAGGGGAAAGGGTTGCCTTTGCCATGACAAAAACAGTCAGATCTGTTTTCTGAAGTAACTTGAAATTCCCTTGCAAATTTGATGTACTTGCTGACCTTCTGAAATATTTTATAGCTTTGCAGGTTTTTACAACAAATGAATCAATGGAAATTCAGCTCAGTCCCTGAGGCTTTCCTCTGTGAGGCAGACTGAAGAGTTTTTACAGTTCTGCACTGTGTGCAGTTTAAAAAGCTCCATCTCTGTGGCTTTCCTCACCCCTCCAGGAAGGACTTCCCCAATCCCCAAAACTTCCCGGCCTCAGGAGATGCTCATGCTGTTTGCAGTTTGCCAGTCCCTGCTTGGCTGGAGACCGGGAAGGTAAGTGCTGGGATGAGCATCCCACTTCTCTGGGCATCCAGACCCCGCCGAGTCCTAAATCAGCCCAAAGCCTCTCTTACCTTTTGCTGTTCTCAGGAGCGAAAAGCAAAGCAGGCAAAAGCATTCCCAAACCAGCTGCGGCTTCATGATGAGCTCTGGGAGCTGGGCGGGAGACAGGGAAGGAAGGGGGGTGGGAGAGAGGGACCAAAGTGGGCAAGATCAGCAGTGTCAGGCGATGGGGCCCGACCTTCTCCCTATCCCCGCCTTACCCAAGAAAAGGCAAATAATTAAACCTTTGTACCAACCCCCAGCAGCCCCGGAGGGTTTGGAAATCAGCTGAGGTTTGCCAAAGGCCGGCGGGAGGAGAGGAAAGCTGGAAGAAAAGAGCTGCCAGGAACGTTGCGGGGTGGAGAAATTGCCCATTTGTCCCGATATGGGAGGGGGATGCTCAGAAAGCTGCTCTGTCTTTTGGTGATCTCTCTCTTCCCTTCATGGGACAGAAGATAGTTGCTTTCAAAAGAAAAGACGCAGAAGGGGGGAAGGGGGGAAAACAGCTTTTCCATCCTTTTATTTGGAGACTGGGATTTGCAGCCCGGAGGCTCAAGTTACTTAAAGGGCCAGGCTGGAGGGCACGGGGAGCACTGCTACCCCCAGAGAGAAATGGGAAAGGGCTTAGGAAATCCATCTTCAAATCCATCTTTAAATCCCTTGGCCCACTAACCATACAATATGTTTTTTTTAAGGCATGAACTTTCTGACTGCTGAGTCAGAATTGTTTTCCAAAGACACCAAAGTAAGTGGTGGTGACGCAGCTCAGGGTCCTGGGAAGGCTTTTTGATGAAAAGAATGGGGGAGTGGAAGGCGGGGGCACTTCACGTGTCATTCTGGAAGTGATCTGCATATTACAGTGGGATTAAAACTCCAGGACTTTGGTGTTTTGGCATTTTCAAGGGAACATCTCCCAACTCTGCAACACCACTGGGTTTTTGGGCCACTGCTGTGATCAGAAAACCAGAGCAGATCCAGCTGAGAGCAACCTGGGGAAACTTCATTTATAGGTCTCCCATGTGTGGTGTCTTCATTCGGTCTTCTGGTAGTCTTTATGGAAAAATAGCCCAAATTTAGCTTGAAAAGTGTTCTTCTCTTTAGTATTTTCTTTTAGCTTTTATTACATCACAGAATGGTTTGAGTTAGAAGGGTCCTTAAGGACTGTTTTCTTTCAATCCCCTGTCATGGGCAGAGAAGCTGTGGCTGCCCCATCCCTGGAAGTGTCCAAGACCAGGTTGGAGGGGGCTTGGAGGACCCGGGGATAGTGGAAGGTGTCCCTGCCCGGGGTTGGAACTGGATGATTTTTAAGGTTCCTCCCAACACAAACCATTTTATGGCTCTGTGGAATTTGTGCTCTGCAGTGCAATGTGAGAGCAAAGCACACCAGTGGATGAAGGTCCTGCTGAACACAGGAAGTTTTAGTTTTTTATCCAGGGTGGGGAAAAAGGAAGTATTTCAGAGTGAAGTGGTTGTGGAGAGGCTAAGCCCTGAAGGTAAGGTCCCAGAATGTTTTCCAGCTGCAGCTCAATAAAACATCTGGAAAGGAAAGACAAACAGAAATAGCCTGTGAAAAAAAACTACTGATAAGGAGGCCTCAGAGTGAAACGGAACTTTGGTAGGTTAGTTATTTAGGCTGCCACGACTTCCAGGACTAGGATGTGGAAAATTGGGAGAAAACCCGATTCTTCCTTCTGTCAGTGAGAGAATCTGTGAAAAAAAATAAACCAGAAGAAACCAGAGGGAGTTATAAATCTTTGGGAAGCATTCTTCTCAGATCCACCTGGGCTTGCCATGCTCTTGGAAAGGTGCCTTATGGAACTTTGGACACCTATGGAGAGATGTATGACTCTAAAATCAATGCTGCTGGAATTTTAGGTGCTCTTCCACCCCCGCATGTATTCCCCAAGGGAAATATAATCTCCCATTTCTATCCAGAAATCCACAGGGTATTCCAGCTGCAGTATCTGGTGAGAAACTCACAGGCAGAGCAGGGGCAGTCGGTGTGACCAGGTCACCATGCCCAGGTCAGAGAGGCATGCAGAGACCTTGCCACAGAGCTGTGACATCGAGGTGGACTTTGGCAAAGGGTGGCCAGGCTGCACTCGCCTGGATGGAAGCAACAGGGGATGTTGCATCAAAGCCTGCAAACCTCAGTTTTCTTCTCTTCTAAATGACCTTCATCTCCAAAAGTAGCCCCTGCCCACCCAGCATTTTTTCCTGCCTTTTCACCTCCCTTTTTGCCACTGCTACCAACAATCTCCACCAATCCTTCCCTCTATGACAAAAACTGAAGGGCAACGAGCACTTCCCACATTATTGTACTGGTGGCACTCAAAAGTCTCCAAAATCCCTGCACACAGAGATTTCCTGGGGCTGTGTGGGTCAAGAGGCCCCAGGTGTGTCCGATGAGCACCTGAGGGCCCCAATGAACTTTAATGACCCCAATGAGCCTCACCTGTGCTCTCCACCCACGCCCACGGGCTGGGAGCCTCTTGAAGCTCAGCCTTGAGTTTGGGTGCGCTTTTTAGGCTGTGTTACAGGGTTGGATTGTGTTCTGTTTCTGTTGGTTCTGGATGGACCTAAAGCTTCTCTGTGCCCTTTCTGCCCTGGAGAGTGTTGATAGAGACTTCTGTGAGGAGCCAGACTCAAATCCTTCTAGAGAGATCCTCTTGGTGAGTGCTGTTCTGCCAGTACTGGGCCACCCCTGCCCATCTCCATGTGCTGTGTGCCACTGGGGATCATCTAAGGAGTTGTTCCTATTCCTAAAACATCTTCCTCTTCCTCCTGCTTCCCCTTGGCACATGGCTCTGAGGTGGGTGGGATGTGTTCTGTGACTCTTCACTGTGCAATAGTTTTTGTTGGGGAAATATTTTCAGCACTTGAGGTCTGCCCTTTGAACTCATTTCCAATGCAAGCACATACCTATAGAATTTGTGGAGGAAAGCAGTCCACACCAGTGATGAGGCTGTTGTGAGATGCATAAAAAGAGCTGCTCCCCACCGGCCCCCAGGAGAGGCTTGTGAGCCCCCCCCTTGCCAGGTGCTTTGTGTTTTATTGTCTGGAGGTTGTCAGGCTGGCTGCACTTTCCAGGACAGCCTCCTTTTTATCCTCCTTTTTCTTTTTTTTCTCCCTTTGCTCTGCCTGAAACAAGGTGTGAAAAAGCCTCTGGCTTGGCTGGCTCCTTATGAGCTGTTTGTTGCTCGAGAGTTTGGGTCAGGGAAAGGGGGAAAGTCTGAGCACTGAAAGTGGAAGGAGCTGGGTTTGCATCTCAACCTGAGGCATCTCAAAGCCTGATCAGCTGAAAAAAAGACTTTGCTGTGTTAATGCACAATTATATTTTTCTGTAATTTTTGGAAAATAGAGCTAGAATCAACCTGGAGAAGGTTGTGTGGCCAAGTTCCCTGAGCCTGGCTTTGCCATGAGAAATGGATGCCTGACCTCTTCACAGAGAGCTGCTGCTGATAGAGATTTCTCTGTTTCTATAGTGAATTCAGCTCAGTACTTTGCTGCTATAAAGAAGTCTCCTCTTTTTTGCAATTTCCCTCTATTATCTTGAAATCCAGCCGAGCTAGAATTTAGCCCCAGCCTTTTCTGTGCTGCTCCCTTGTGGTCATCCGGCTGGTGCTCCTTTTGCTTCTTAAATTTGAAGAGGCCTCAGCTGCCTCCCTCTTTCCTTCCTCTCTCCTTTTCCAGGTCCTGTTTCCCAGACCTTTCTCTTTCCTTATAAAACCCCTGATAACCCATTCCCCATTTAAGGCTTCGTTGTGTCCTTGGTTTTCTTCCTTCTGGGTGCTGTGGCTGAAGGTGTAGCTTTGAGGAGCACACCCTGCTCCCTTTGCTCAACAATTCAGCACTGCAGTTATCCCAGTCTCCTGCTGCTGAGGGCTTCCTTAGCCTCTTGCTGAAATAAAAAATATCCAGGAAGCTTTTCCTTTCCTTTCCGAGATTACAATGCTTTCTACAAGTCCTTGAGATGTGGCCATGATGGTTAAAACCCCACAGTACAAATGAAGGTTTCCTCCTTCTTTCCCCCACTCCATGCTCCTTCCTCTCCCTTATTTTGTCATCTCAACAACTGCTAAGGAAACGTTTCTCATCTTCTCAATTGGCAATGCAACTGCTTTTGAATTCCATCTAAAAACAGGTTTTAAACTCAGGCTCTGCTCATGCTATGGTTTGAAAGTTTTGATTAAGTTGTTGGTGCTTGACAAGCTTTGTGCTGCTTTAAAGCCTTTGTCCAAGGGTCAAAGAATAACCCTGGCAGGGAGTGAAGGAGTGCTGTCCACTAAGTTGTTTAGTTTTGGAATGTATTAAACCAGGTTTCTCTAAAAGCCACTTTGAGTAAGTCGAATAAAGGCACTGGAATTACTTTGGGAAATTTTGGGTCCATTTAGGGTAGATGCACACTGACAGAAGCTGTTTATCTGATGCTCAATACGTGCTCTGATCAGTGCAGGGCCATCCCCTCAAGAAGTGTGTGAGCCAAACGCAGCAACTGGAGAACAAAACACGAGTTGAGCTTAGAGAGCGGCACAGATGAAATCCCAGGGATGCTCCTGCCTGGAACATGGCCCTCCCCAGCAACTTTTCTTACAGTTTAATTGAAAAAAAGCTAAAAAGTGATGCTCAGGGCTTTGGGATCTGGTTCATAACTGCAGAGGGGATGAGCTCCCTGACTGGAACTCAAGCAGTGAATTACCACAAGCCTGCAGCCAGATAGCTTCTTGTTCAACTAAAATTCTATGGTTCTTGGGGTGGTGGGTTTTGTTTTGTTTTTCTTTTGTGGTGTTGCTTTTTTTTTTTTTTTTTGTATTCTTAGAGATGCTACAAGTGCAAGAAGAGAACAAAAGTAGACTGGAGCACCACTGGCACAGTAGTTGATATTTTACTCTTCCTCTTTTCCTTTTAGAAATATATGTAGATAACATGAATTTGTAACTCTGTTATTTGAGATAAAGACTTTTTTCCTTTCTTAGGAAAAGATGTGCAAGTCCTGAGGCACTGGGCCAATGCTTAATCGCTGCATTTTCTTGACGTTTTACAATTGAACAAGGGGATTATAAGATTGACAAGGAAGATACAACTCGGGAGCTCGCTAGGCAGCAGCCTCCAAACTCCTTGGGTGATGCAAAGCTGTGTTCCAGTGCGAGAT